GTGAGAGTTGGATTGAATGGTTCTTGGTCACAGTGTTTTAGGATTTGGAGTGAGGACAGTGACCCCTTCAAAACCTCATGCTTATCCCTTAAAGCCCTATTGAACCATCTCTTTGCCAATTTTCAAATTCTTTGTTTCACAAGCACTGGTTCTTCCTGCTCCATTTAGCCCTTCAGGACCCCAAGCTTAACCCCCTTCTGCTGGAGATACAGACCACTGGGGTTTGAATGAGGACTTGCTTGCTTCTGGCTTTTGGTTTGAGGAAAAGGAGACTAGTATGGGGGTTGGAAAAAAGTCTCCCCAGAATGTGCCACCCTGGCAGGCAGATAATTTTGAGCTGAAAACAGTCAAAGCCCAACAAATCCTGTGAGTTTTGTTTGTTTGTTTTTACCTCCCCCTCACCTGCCTAAAGAGATTCAGTTAGAAGATCCTGCTTCAGGAAGGGAAACTTAACATAATCACCTTAGTGCCTATGAATGAAGTGTGGCAGACTGGGAGGATCCAAGCAAAAATCTGTTTGTTAGATTACCCTCTGTGCCCCATTGTTTCTAGGTGGCCCTGAAAGAATTTGTTTACCAAATCTTTGCTCATTTTTGTTTACCTATAAATTGCCCACCTCCCCTTCCTTAGTCCAAAATGACATACATACCTCCTTTTGATCGTTTTTGGAATTTCCATGCTTATGTGAATTCCCTGTGAGGACATATTAAAATTTGATTTTCTCTTGTTAATATGCTGTATGTCTCTTTTATATATAATTTCTTGATTTTAGAGAGAAAGAGAGGAAGGGAAGGAGGGAGGGAGAGAGGAACAAGGGTTTGTTGTTCCACTTATTTAAGCATTCATTGGTTGATTTCTGTCTGTGCCCTGACTGGGGATCGAACCTACAACCTTGACATATCAGGACGATGCTCTAACCAGTTGAGCTAAACTTCCAGGGCTAATGCTGTATGTCTTTTGAATTATTTGACCAACCGGAAGAACTAAAAGTTTCTCTGGCCCTGACACCAATAAGCTCCCAGAAGCACAAAACTATGGCAATCATGAAGATCTGATTTGGGGGGGACAATTCTAGTTTCAAATAATTTTATTCACTGAACCCACATTTTTAATTTCTATTATCTTGCCCTTTATAGCGAATCATTCTTTAAGATCTATCAATTGCTCCTCCAATACGTCTACACTTTTTCCACTGCCACCACCTGCTAGTCTAAGCTGCTGTCAGTTGTCCTTGGGTGGAAGCACGAGCCTTTGAGCTCCCACGGCTGCTCTGGTCCCTTTCAGTTCTGCCCTCCTCCTTCTTCCCCACAATAGTCAAAGTGAATGTTTTAAATAACAATGACTTAATTCACTTCAGTGCTAAAACACCTCTCAAGGGCTTCCCTTTGCCTAAACCTTTCACCTTGACCTTTTTTTGTTTTTCAAAGATGCCAAGTTTGTTCCTGCTTTAGGGCCTTTGCACTGGCTGTTCTCTCAGCGTAGAACAATCTGCCCTGAGGTGTTTGCAGAGCCAGTTCCTTCTGGTCATGCAGGTTTCAGCTCAAATGTTACTTTCTCAAAAAGGCTTTCTCTGACCACCCAGGGTAGCCTCTCCCTCCCTCTCCATTCCCTAACTTTCTCACTATTGCATTATCCAATCACATAACTCAACACTTGTGACTATATAAAATTGTTCTTTTAACATTTTTCTTTGTTTTTAATTGATGATATATACAGATGGTACAAAATTTAAAAGGTACAAGGATAAAAGGTGTCCCTCACTTCCCTGTCACCCAGACACAGTTTTACTTCTGTCCAGATGCAACAACTATTTCCACTTTCTTTTTTTTGTTTTGTTAATCCTAACCTGATGATATTTTTCCCATTGATCTTTAGAGAGAATGGAAGGGAGGGAGGGAGAGGGGGAGAGAGAGAGAAACCTCATGCATGTGAGAGAGACACATGGATTGGCTGGTCTCCCCCATGTGCCCCAACTTGGGCCAGAACGAACTCACAACCAAGGTTTGTGCCCTTGACCGGGAATCGAGCCTGTGACCCTTCAGTGTGTGGGGGTGGATGCTCTAACCACTGCGTCACATCGCCCAGGGCTATTTTCACTTTCTTATTATGTCCTTCTAGATATATTCTCTAAAATAACAAACAATATACACTATACACCTTATTTTCCTTCACATGAAGTAACATGTATAGACACACACACACACATACTGTTCTACATCTCGCTTTTCACATTTACCAAGAATATGAAGGTTTTTCCATGTCAGTACATTACAAATCTGCTCCATTCCTATTAATTTTTGTTCAGCATTCCATTGCAATTATATGGATCTCTCTCAATAATGTAATTCATTCCCTATTGATGTACATTTAGTTGTTTCCTTTTCTTTTTCTATTGAAAATAACAATGTTGTAATGAATAGCTTTGTACTTACACCATTTTGCACTTGTGCAGATATATCTAGGAGAGAAATTGCTGCTTTGAGGGTTGGTGCAAATTGCAGAATTAAGGGTTATGTATAATTTATAGTCTAATAGTGCTAAATGATCTTACATAGTGATCATACCAATGTGCTCTTACATTAGCAGTGAAATTATCTTGGTCTTTTGCTTGATATTTGTTAATTGCCTATCTCCCTTCTCTGACCATGAGGACAGTGCCTTGTTCATCACTGTCTCTACAGCCTCGCACATGGTAAACTGCAATAAATAGTTGATGAATAAAGAACCCTCATTGTAAACTGTCCCCCAATTTTTGTTCTAAGAATACAGTCAGTTTGCCTGTGAGCCTTCAGCACACTGAACTGTTTGTCTTTCTCCTCCCTAAACTGGGAACCATTGCTGATTCATCTTTCTTTTTCCTTGTGCAATGTCTGACACCGAGTAGGGCTCAATAAGCCTGAGTGGAAGGAGTGAATCAATGACTTTGAAAGCTGTGACTCACACAGGAAACCGAATACAAGTTAGGAAGCAGATTAAGCTAAGGGGGCTCAGTGGGGAAGAGATGGCTCTTGGCTGAAAAGTTGGGAGAAGGAGAAGCCCCATAATTGTCTAGAGATGCAGGGCTGTGCTGAGTGGGAAAACCCACAGACGATGTCCCAGAGAGACAACACTGCATCTCTCACCAGGACAACGTGACAGAAGTCTCCACTGTCTCCCTCCACCTGACCCTTGGATTGTTTTCTCCATCAGGCATGTAGGCATGAGTTTTCAAGAACCTATAAAATATTTGAGACCTGAACTAATTTGTAATGTTAGTTCCAAAATATAAGAAAAATATAAAAATTAATATTTTATTAAATGTATACAAAATAAAACAATATGTCAACTATTAATAGCAACTCAACTATATATAGTTGTTTATAAGTTTTACTTAATTCGGGGTATTGACACCTTATATTAATGTGTTTGATATAATATAGAATGAGGTCTCCAAAATTGGAAACTTGAAAGTGTTTTGAAAAAGCCTCATAGCTCGCTTGGAGTTCTCTCAAAGGGAGAATCCTGCTTTGTGAGTATCTCATTCTCTTTAATCCTGTATTTCCTCATGCAAACATTCATCTCAGAGTTACGGTAAGGACAAAAGAAATAATGTATTATAAAAGGACTGGTCTAACAGATGCAAAGTAGTATTAGCACCTGATTGTTTCTGATTAGCTCCTGGAGGGGCTGAGGGGTTGTTTTTGTTTAGTTCAGCTTCCCAATCAGTAACGACCAGTGCTCAACTCCAGGGGACACTATACAAATACAAAAATGAATGATGCCTCCTGGAGTTGTGCCTTGTCTTGAATGGTGCTAGACCTAAGGGCTCAGGAAATGTTTCCTTAATGTGTAAGTGAATGGAATCCAATTTTACTTCCTGCTCATTTCACCTAAGATAAAAAAGAAAAGTGGACTGGGGTGAAGAGAGTGGGGGAGGAGGAAAGACAGTCATTAATCTATACACACTAATTATGCATCTAACTGCGAGGCTGCCATGCTTCATTGAGGTGTGTGTGTGTATGTTGATGGTAGTAGTGCGGAAGGAGGGAGTGCTAAAGAAAGTATCCTATTCCTAAAGGTCCTCCTCTTAGTTTTCCTTGAAATATTACCCCTCTCCTATTTTCAGTGTGGTCCGAACTATGCTGGTGATTTGACAACCCTGGATTTGCACCCAGAGTCTTACCTTTAATTACACTGTTCATTCATTTAAAAAACAAACAAACAAGAAAACACGTTCTTAGCACCTACTAGGAGCCAAATTACGTGCTAGTGTTGGGAGTGGTAAACAAGACTGCCTGGGGAAAACGGACCAGTGCACGTTCTATCATCCTCCACGTGTTATCACCGTCAGAAGTGGTGTTTAAATGGAGACTAGAAGAATAAAAAGGAGTGAGAGTTAGAGTGATATAGAGGAGACAAAGCCAGGAGGCTGGAGAGACGGGGCCCCTTGAGGTAGGTCTGGGGCAGGGGAGTGAGGAAGACCAGTGGGCAGGGGCCAAATCGTGCAGGGCTGGTGGTTATTCTATCCCGAGGTAATTGGGAACCAGTAAAGAAGGAAAGTGACATGGTCAAATTTGAATTTTTGGAAATGGAGTTTGGACTGGAGGGGGAAAAAGAAGAGGCAAGGAGACTCGGTAAGAGGCCACTGAGGCTGTCTCGGGACAGATGGTCTTTAACCAGCGTGGTGGTGCCCAGGAGGAGAGGAGTGGACAGTTCCAGGTATATTAGGAAGTGAAACCCAACAAGCCTGGTGACAGAAAAATAGCCCTACCTCAAATAGAGACCCTGGGGAAGAAACAAGATGGATGTTGATAAAAGACCACTTTATTTTGCGCCTTAACCCACCTGGCGTCCTCCTTCCCTTAACCCTGTCGCCTCCATATATGGAGACGACAGTAAAACAAGGGGCGGGACAGACGCCCACGAAAATCCGGGTACTTTTTATTTAAACAAAGTAGACGTCAGCAGGGAAATAGAAAACGAAGGTACTTCCGGTTACTCCGGATGTGAAGGCGCGTAAGCTTCTCCGCCGGCGGAGGCCAAGGTGAAGGATGGCCGGGAGGACCGCGCGGCTGGTGCTGCTCGCCGGGGCGGCCGCACTAGCCAGCGGCTCCCTGGGCGACCGCGAGCCGGTGTATCGCGACTGCGTACTCCGGTGTGAGGAGCGGAACTGCTCAGGGGCCGCACTGAAGCACTTCCGCTCCCACCAGCCAATCTACATGAGCCTAGCAGGTAAGCCCCGCCTGTAAGCCCCGCCCTTCGCCTTGGCCCCGCCTCTTTCGCGCCCAGATACCCCTCTGCAAGCTCTGAACCTTAGTTTCCTACCCAGGATCTCTTATGAGTGTGAGTGGAAACCAGGAGTAATGAGAGGCCCATCAGCCAGTTTTATTTTCCCAGCAACTTTCATTTACTTTTTATCTATTCAGCCAAACGGGTATTTATTTAATACTTCTGGGTTCAGGCCCTGGAATGACACTGAAATCACAGTCCCCATGGGAACATGAACCTTCTTAAGAGCAAGGTAGAGGATGATTCCAGCCCTAAAAGGTCCTTAGATTAAACAACAGGAGCATATAGGGGAGGAGGGAATCGTTTATAGCTTTGAGGGTTTGGGGGCAGCAATCATCTTGGAACATTTTGAGAAGGAAAGGCGTCAGGATGGATACCTTAAACTTGGACCTGTGGCCATACAGGGCACCTTCTGTGACAGGTGTCGAAACAGTCAGTTTTAACAACCCTTTCAGGTAGATTCCGATTTTACAGATGGGGAACTCAGAGAAGTTAAGTGCCATGCCCAAAGTCACACAGCCAGTAAGTGGTATGTAGAGTTTCCAGTTCTGGCCTGTTTCACAAGTTTGTTCTCTCTGCTATCCCTTTCTAATCTCGAGAGAGGGAACAGAGTGGAGGCCTTGGGCAGATGTGGGCACATCCAGAGGCTTAGTTTTCTCAGGGAGCAGGGTACATGAAAAGGAGTATTGGGAAATAAAGTTGGGAAGACAATTTGGGGCCTTAAAAGTCAGACTGAAGAATTTGGGCTTTATTTTTATAGGAGGTGGGTAAGATGGCAAGGGTTCCTCCCTGGAGAGTGAGAACAAATCCTGTGTTCAGGAAAGGTAAACATAAACCCAGCTGTCCATAGATGAGTCTGACAGATGCCAAGATCCTCGTCTTGGGTGAAAGGAGAAGAGAAGAAACATCTCTGTTTGTTCACTATACACCTCAGCCTCCTAGAACACACACATACCCCTTCCCTTATGTGTATGTCCCACCATCTTTTATCCATCCAAGTAGGAACCTAGAATTTTGAGATTTCTTCTGGTTCTCTTCAACTTGCAGGCCCTCTTGGCCTGCAGTCAAATTTAGGCCCCACGCAATCTTTCTCTGTACCTCCCATACCAAGTAGTTCACTGGACCAATTTATCTGTTTCAGGCTGGACCTGTCAGGACGACTGTAAGTATGAGTGTATGTGGGTTACCGTTGGCCTCTACCTCCAGGAAGGTCACAAAGTGCCTCAGTTCCATGGCAAGGTGAGTTCGAGGGTCAGGGTAGGTAGATGGTGGTAGTGTGGTGGGGGAAATATACCCCCTACTTGGACCCCACAGTCTGAAGTGTGTGGTAATGAGAGTTTGTTTGGGGCGGGTTCCTGTTCTTCTCAAAATCTGTTGGTTTTCATATGGGAATCAGATGGGACCAGTATGTCCTGCCTCTAGATTTGGAGTAAGATCTAGGGTCTCCTCAGAGAGTGGTGTTGGGCTTCCTAGGGTTGTTGGATGCCCACCTTGCTACAAGGACAAATTCCCTGACCCATCCCAGCATGTGCTCTGTTTTCTTCAGTAGTCTGGATTAAAATAGTTAGAGCCCTCAGACTGCCTAGCAAGAAACAGTTTGCTGGTGGTGCCTTTGATCCAGTAATGATCTTGTTCCAGCCAGTTATTGGCAAGAATTCTCCCCAGTTTGTCACAGAGTAAGCTGAGGCTCAGAGGGCTGTGATCAGTGGTAGAGGAGAGATTAGGACCAGCATAGGCAGGTCTATGCTGTTTCCACCAGGCCATACTGAGCCATCTACACTTGCCCACCTGGTCTTCCCAGAGACCAGGCTTACAGTGCTGAGTACTGGCCAGAACAGAGGGATGACCTTCGGCCAGGGACTGAAGGGGAGCTCACTGATTTGAAGAGGGACTGAACCTGAGGTTTTGGCCAGGTCCAGAGCTGAGGACCCAACTGAGGACCTATTGATGCAGCAAGTCAAGAAAGAGCAGGTTGGGCCAGCTGGGGGTTGCTTGCCCCTCAGTCCCCCTCCATGTGTTCCTTTTTCAGTGGCCCTTCTCCCGGTTCCTGTTCTTCCAAGAGCCAGCTTCTGCCGTGGCCTCTTTCCTCAATGGACTGGCCAGCCTGGTGATGCTCTGTCGCTACCGCACCCTTGTGCCATCCTCCTCTCCTATGTACCCCACCTGCATGACCTTCGCCTGGGTAGGTAACCTGGCAGGATTCCTGCTTTATACCCACATCTAGGAAAGAGGAACTCTGAGATCCCCACTCACTCTGCACAGCTTCCACCCACTGAGCTTCCCCTGTTTCCCAGGGCTAAAGTTGCAGTTGGAGGGCGGTCAGGCATGGGAAGACAAAGGGAAGGTGCTGGATCAGGCCTTACCTTCCTAGCAGAGTCCTAGGCCAGGCTGTTTGGTAAGGAGGCAGAGAGGAAAGAAACATTGTTCTTGCCTAGAGGAAGAAGCCGCTGAAAGCCCCAATAGGGTGATTTACAAACATAGAAGGGAAATGGGTGGTAGGGAGCATGCTGAAACCCCAAGGGCCCCTCTGGAGAACCTGAAGCAGTCTCAACCCTAACCCAGGCCTGGAAGCAGTGGCAGCCACAACACTCCATCTAGATAGAGCTCAGCCTGGTCTTAGACCATTCGGGGAGAAGCCGAAATATGTTCCATCTGAGTATCCAGAGAGGGGTCTGAGCTTCACAGTGTGACTGGTCAGAAGAGCCAGCATCCACGGCCAGAAATTGTGTGAGAAGCTTGGACTGTGGTACAGATCTGCACTGTGAGAACATGGGGGAGTGTGTGAGAGTTAAAGGATGCTGTGGAGGTCTTTAAATGAGACCTCCCTCTGTAAGCCTTAGGGAAACAGTCCCCACTCACTCACCTTCCTGACATCAAAGCAGCCATTCATTCATATATTGAGCACCTACTGTGTGCTAGGCACTTTGTTGGGTGCTAGAAATCCAAAAGTATATAAAAACAGATGGTTCTCTGCCCTCTGGTACCAGTCATACAATTGAATGTAAAAGTGCAGTGGAAGAGAGGTGCTGTAGTGGGGCGCGAGTGATGGGGGACTAGACCAGTATAGGGCAATCAGAGAAGGCTTCCCTGAGGAAGGGGCATACAAGGAAAGATCAGAATGGTGAGTGCATGTTAACTAGGTGAATTCGGGGAGAATAGGAGGAGTCACCTACTGAAAAGACTTAGAATGTGCTCAGGCAGGAGAGAGCTTTGGTTATATGAAGACCCAAACAGCCAGGAGGTCTGCCAGGAAATGGGGGGTGAGACTGGTGAGAAGGTGGGCAGTGGACAGGGCCAGCCCATGAAGAGCCTGGGGGTACATTAGGGCACTTTAGATCTTGCAAAGCGTCAGGAAGCAATAAGGGTCAGAGAGAAGGAATTTCATGAATAGATTGTTTGGAAAACTCATTTTGGCTACTGTATAGAGAACAGATTGGAGGGGGCAGGAGTGGATGCGGGGCACTAACTGGTAGTTTTTGTTTGTCTGTTTGTTTTGGTTGGTAGTTTTAGCATAGGGCACAGTAGCTAGAGAGGCTGCACGGGTCTTGGGAGGGGCTCCAGAGTCCACTCTTATTACCTGGGCTGTGCTGACAAACTTCAGCGGTGGGTTAGGTGAGGAGAGAGGAGCAAGGATGACGCCTGTGTTTCTGCTTGTGAGGCTGCTAGAAGCTGTGAGTGCAGATGAGATCAGCAGGGAGAGCTTAGGCGGCGAGAAGGGAAGGGGGCTGGGACGGGGCCCTAAGGGACCCCAACACGTAATGGCCGGAGAGAGGAGGGTAAGCCTGCCATGGAGACAGGACTGACCCATGGGGCAGGGGGAAAACCAGCATATAGTATGGTCGGGAGAATCCCAGGACAAGCACAGGAAGGACAGAGCAGGCCATTCTCTTGAATTCTGCTGGACAGTCAAGGAAGATGAGAACTGAGGATGGTAGGAAAACTGACAGTGTAGGGGTGCTGAGAAGCCTGGGAGATGGGGCCCAGGAGGAGGGCAGAGAATGATGCCATTAGGCCTCTGGGAAATTCTGATCCTCCCTAGTAATGTCCAGTCAACAAATATTAATAATTATTATTATGAATTATGGAACCAAAAAATCAGGTGATCAGACATGGTCCTAAGTACTTCACCTACATTTTCTCATTTAATCCTACGACCACTATAAGGAAAAACTTTGCCTAAAGTTACCAGCCAGCAAGTTAGCGAATAGTGGAGACAGGTTAACATCCAGGGCTGTCTGACTCTGGGGCCCAAGCATGAAGCCCCTCTTCTGGGCTGTCTCCATGGACCATGACAAATGTTGGTTGAGCATTTGTTGTGCGCAGAGACGGGTTAGCAAGGTGGGAGTTGAAGCCCCTGCCCTAGATGCTGAGCCCAGTGGGAGGGACAGGCCCAGCCAGGTTGGGAGGCAGAGTGCAGGCAGAGCTGGGGAGGGCTCGGGTAGAAAGCCTGGGAGTCATGTCATGGAGACCACGTGGAGAAGTCTGTCAGGGAAGCCCAGGGAGGAGGAGAGGCTTCAGCTGGGACTTGAAGGCTTGGTCAGGCCTCAGCATGTACACATAGGGGGAGTGGGCCTTAGAGCGTCCCAGCTTGTCTTCCTGCCATGTACCAGAAGCCAGTGGTCATTTCACGCCTCTTGTCTTCATCTTCCTGATTCTCGAATCTTTCATCTCACTATCGTCTGCCACTCAGCTTCCTTCTTGGCGGGGTGTCACACTTCCCAGGGGTATCCAAGGACCCTCAGGGACAGAGCAGGAGCTGTTAGGTTGGGAGAGGCAGACACCTGGGGCCTGTGTCTTAGGGCGCCCTACAGGATATGGTGTTCTGGGACATGGAATCCCCTCATGCCACCGCTAGGCCCTTGAGGGACAGACTGTTAGTGTCCACGCTCCCTTTGATGATCCAGTTTGGATTTTACACCCGATCTTTCGTCCTGTGAGTGTTTGCAGGAGGGAGGCATCCTCCCTGTATGGAGGGTGTGGCAGTGGACTTCGTCCTGGGCTCGGCCCTCTGGAGCAGTGGGGCTCCTGATTTCTGTTGGGGTGGGGTAGGAAGGCTCCTCACCTGCTCCAGGTTAGATCTTGGGGGAAGGGGGTTGTCTCAGTTTTGCTTTGGGAAATGAGGAGACCCTGCCCCCAGCAGGGCTAATGAAGCTTTGAGATTTAGGTCTGAGCACGGGCTGGGCAGCGGGCAGGCTTTAGGGGAGCCCCCCAAAGCTCTGTACACCACAGACCTTTGATTTCATGGAACTGGGAGCCCCTGCTCTCTGCCAAAGCTAGGAGGCCAAACCAGTTCCCTGCCCCTTCGTCCAGCAAGGAAAGGTCTTCAGGGGTAGAGGTGAGGGGTGCCAGAGTAGCCCAAACCATCTCTGCAGGATGATTTGTGGAGGTGGGGACGTACTGTGTTCTGCCTCTGCTGAGGAGACTTCAAGAAGAGATAATAGAGTGAGGCTGCAGCAGGATGATGGTTAGACTTCAGGAAGGACCTCCCAATAGTGAGACAAGAGCCAGTGAAACAGGCAATGGCAGGACATCAAAGAATCCTTTGGATGGTGTAAAAAGCCCACCTCCTCCCATCTCCATCTGCCTCTTTCCCATCTTTCTCAGGAGTGAACTGGCGCAGGCTTGCCCTGTGTGAGGCAGGGGGTGAGACACCGTGGCCTCTGGATGGTGGGGGTAGGCCAGAATGGCAGCAGGCGTCATATTTAACATTCTGCCTCCCCCACTTCTGAGACACTGAGCTATTTAAAGACCCACTTGTCCCCACTGCCACAGTGTCAGTGACAGCCCCGAGTACTGGGGCTTAGCACAGGGGTCGAATTCCTGACAGATTTGGCTCACTTGGCATCCAACCAGTTTCACGGCTATGATATTTTTGTCTCAATTTTCCTATTTTCCAACAGACTGAAACAACCTTCTGCTCTCCGTCCACCCATTCTTCCCTGTCCCCTTCACTTCTACCCTCACTGGCACCCTGCCCCTGGCCTCCCCCTCTCCTCAGTGTTTACCAGAAGCTCTTGGCGCCTGCTGGGCCAGCCCATCGGCCTCCTGGTCTGTCTGATTGGCCAGTTAGCCCATCTGCCTCCCATTCTACTCAAGCTTGGCAGAGGAGTCCAGGAGCAGCCCTACACTTGCATCTTGGGGGCTTTCCCTTCCTTCCCTGTCTGTCCACTTCGTTTGAATCTTGATTACAAATTTAGTGAAGGGCACTAGTATATCTTCCTTGCTTCTGGTGGGATAGTAGCCCAGGAGCCAGGAGGAGGGAGCTCTTCCTCTAGCTGAGGTGTCTGTGTTCTAGGATCAAGAGATCCATGGTCTGACCTAGTACATTGTGACCCTTAAGGAAGAGGAAGGTGGAGTCAGGTAAAGGGAAATGTTGTGAGGTCAGCTTGCTGGACATGATGAAGAAAACTGCCATTTATGCGGCACCTACTGTATATCAGGAGACAGTAACAGCAACCATTTATTGAATGGCTTCTCTGTGCCAGGCATTTCGCAGACATCATCTTCATGACCCTCTCAGGCAGTGAGTACTGTTTTTAACCCTGTTTTGTAGGTGAGGCAGCTGAGGCACAGAGAAGCTATTATTCACTCAAAATCACACAGTTATTTAGGAGCTAAGTCAGGACTTGAACCAAGGGTCCATTTCTTTATAAAGGCTCTGACATTCTGTCCCCAGCCTGGAGCTGTGGGATGGGCCTGGGCAGCTGTAGGGAGAGCACCCCTTTCCCACCTAGACTTCCTGGGCCTGTAGGGAGAGTGGGAGGCAGACTTGGCTGCTCAGGTCTTTGGAGAGGTGTGAGGGTCCCATGCTGGTCAACGAGGTGGGGAGAAATAACACCTGATGTTTTACCCTGCCCTGCACACTGGGCTGTACTCTGTACCTGCATTACTCCTTAATTCCTTATCAACACTATGGCTATTCACATTTTACAGATGAGGAAACTGAGACACAGAAAGGCTAAATAACCTGCCCAAAGACACACAGGGAATGCAGAGCTGGAATTTGAACCCTGGCAGTCTGGCCCCAGGGCCTACATTCTTAATGACACTATCTCCCAGGCCTGGGAGAAGGTCAGAAGAGGAGCCCCCAATAATGAGATACTACCCAGTAGAGAGGGGACTTTTCAGGGGTGCTGGGGCAGTTGAATAGGGGACCAAGCAGCTCCCACCCCTGAGCCCTACAGCTAAGCCCTGGCCCTGTGCTTCCCCCTCCATGCTTTCAGTGTTCCAACTGCCACTTAGCTCAGTCTTTTGTCACCCTCTTCCTGCCTGGTGACAAGGAGGCCTGGCTGGCTTCCAATCCCTTCTGCCTTCCCCCCCGCCTCCCTCTCACACTGGCTTCAGGGCCATTCTCCCCAAGGAAGTCCCTGTTCCAGGCCTGCCTGGGAGACCTGGCCCACGTGATCACCTGGGTCTCCAGCCCTGAGCCTGCTCCTTTCCCCACGCTGACTCTGAGCATCACTCTGAGCAGTGTCCAAAAAGCCACCCTATTCTGCCCCATGTTCTAGCCTCCAGACCATGCCTCCATTACCATCTCTGGGAAAGGGACAGCACGAGGGATGGGACAGGATGGCTGTCCCCGAAGGAGGAAACAACTGGACCTAGAATAATCACCTGAGCTCGGGGCTGGAACAGGATGAAGGAGCACCCAGGCCAGCCTGATGTGTCCCAGGGGAAAGCTCGGGCCTTTGCTGAGGTCTTGAGGAGCATAAGCAGCAGCAAGACTGAGCCCAGGACCTAGGCCATACAGGCTAGTACAGAAGTCTCCAGAGACTTCCTAGCTTTGCAAGGAGAGCCCTGCTGGCCCCCTCTCCACTGTCCTTCCCATTCTCTTAGAAGCCCCCTCAGTCCTTCATGAGGGAACTCATCCTACTGTGTGAGCTTCCTGCTGCAGTGCCTGGTGGAGAGTGGCTTCTTACCCAGCTCCCTCAGTCGCCTTGGTCCCCTGTCCCCTTCGTCCCCCGCCTGGTCTGTTTTCCTGGTGTACTGGACCCAATCCAAGTAAGCTGCTCCTGGCCTTTACCCATCTCTGGCAGGGTTGTCCCACCCTCCTGCATCGCTCCCTTCCTCCAGGGCATCCAGGCTGGCTGTTTCTTCCTTTGACTACTGGTTGTCACTGGTTTCCCAGGTCTTCCTCCCAGTCCAAGTATGTATCTCCACCCCAGCCCACCCTTCTTTTAGTAATTTGGGCCTTTGCATGGATGCAGCAGTCCCTAAAAAAAGTGCCATCACCAACCCCACAAGATCTAGGACTCATTTGTAAGACAAGGTATACTGTCTCTTTGCAGTTAATTTCCAGGAAGAAGGCATCAACTACGCCCCTGGCCCTTGCCCACCACAGCCCCTCCAGCCCTGCTCCTCTCCCGGAGCTAAGAGCAGCAGCCACTGGTCCAGCGGGTTGGGCCGGCCCAGCCAGCAGGAAGCTGGGCACAGTTGGCAGAGACTCCTCCTCCTCCTCAGAGACTTGGCCCCAGTAGGATCTGCTTGATCTCCTCTCTTGCTTGCTTGCTCCAGACACACCCCAAGCTGGCTCGAGCCCCTCCACCCCACCCACTTCATTCCCGCCCCCAGAGGCTGAGGTCACTGGCTCCCCAGCCCAGGTGGGGCTGTCATCACCTGCCAGTTGGGGAAGGAGGCGAGGCCCCCCCAGGGGCTGTTGTCTTAGGAATGAGTAACCAGGGAATTTGACTTGGCCAGAACTTGTTCCCAGGCCAGGCCGGAAACCTGTGGAGGCTTCAAGCCCCCCACCCCCTTTGGGGGTTCAGAGTGGTGGGAAGCTGAGCCAGGTGGGAGTGGAGGGGCACAGATTTGTTTGGTGGGCTCCAGGAACAAGAGGAAGCACGTTTCTCTGCCCTGAAGAGCCCCTTCCCAAAAGGGAGACAGGTGTGATCCCTCTGGGGGGGTCTTTCCCACCTTGGGATGCCACACTTACCAGCCACCTTCCTCCTCAGGTCTCCCTCAATGCTTGGTTCTGGTCCACAGTCTTCCACACCAAGGAAACGGACCTCACAGAGGTGAGCACCCCTCCTGCTCCCAGAGGGGTAGAACAGAGCCGACTCTTAGGTTTCATGCTGACTCCATTTAGGGAGCATATGCTCTGTGCTGGGCATTGTAAACCTGTTAGTGCACTTGAGCCTCACTTAACCCTCGTGAGGTAGGTGTCACTATTATTGGCTCTTCTTAACTGATGAGGCAGCTGAGCCTTGGAAAGGAGAATTCACTTGCCCAGGATCACCCAGCCAGTAAAGGGGTGCAGTCAGACTGGAGCCCACAGCTGTGGACCTCTGATTGCACTCTGAATTCTGGGCATGCTTTCATGTTCCAGAGCTTTGGCAGGCATCCTCCACCAGTACCTCTAAAGCTTCACTGCTTGAGCAGTGTTTAAAAATTGTGTTATATGAATACAAGGTTCAGTCTGTTAAATTTAGAAGTGAAACAGCAATAGGCAGAAGAAGTGGGAGACACCAACCCCACGCACCATAGGCTGTCTTCTGCCACCCCTCCTTTTCCCCATCCCTGGTGGGTCCTCTCTGGGCCCTGCCCTCCATGAAGCTGTGTCCACCTCCTACTCCCCTCCCACTGGCCCCTCATCCAGCTCTCCCTGTCCTCAGAAAATGGACTACTTCTGTGCCTCCACCGTCATCCTACACTCAATCTATCTGTGCTGTGTCAGGTGAGCCCACTTCGGCTGCTGCAAGGGCAAAATCAGGCCCTGGGGGCAGAAAAGGGCCACCCAGCCACCTGGAGTAGGACTTGGGACCCTGGCTCTTTCCAAGGAGCTATAGGAGTTGGCCCCAGGGGGGTATTGGAGACCTGCCCAGCTGGCCTGTTGGTGGGGGAGAGGGGCAGTGGCTTCCATGTACTGATGTTGGGGTGAGGCAGTGCCTCAGGGAGTGCTGTTGGGGATGGACCACCTTCCATCTGAGCAGCTCTGGATGATGGGGCAGGACTGTGGGGCTACAGCGCCCAACTGTGGCCAGTGCCTTCCGGGCTCTCCTGCTGCTAATGCTGACGGCGCACATCTCATACCTGAGCCTTGTTCGCTTTGACTACGGCTACAACCTGGCGGCCAATGTGGCAATTGGTGAGGCAGGACTGGGGCCCTGGGGGGGCTGGACTTGGGGTGGAAGTGGCGGTGTTGGTGCTATTCCTAGAGAAGGAGGTTCTAGAAAGATCCTTGGGTGGAGGAAGGGAAAAGATATGGGTAGGAGAGGGGAGACTGGGAGGAAAGTCTGAGGTGTTCCTGGGGTCAAAGTGTGGGATAGGGGAGGCTTTGTGC